TTGCACATATGTAAAATTAGAGGAAGATTGGCAACAACGAGACTGCGATAATTGAAGCCAAAGTTAGCGCTATTTGCGCGTACACTGAAAGAAGAATTTGGTAACAACTGCGAAACATTTAATGAAATAGTCTCAAACAAATGATTTGATTACAATAGCCAAATCATTTAATTCAACGCGACGGTTTGCAACGTGTCTGCTATGCTCTACCGCAACATTCCTACAAATTTTAGGAAATATTTCACAATCTCTGGTGTCGCAGGAACACAGATGCTTACTCTTTTTTTTTTTTTTAATATCTCGGAAACGTAACCAGATATCCCATTACTGTCGGCGGCGTTTTTTGTCAAAAGCATACAACAAAAGAGAAGCCGACGTAAAAGTCGGCCGAATATTTCGCTCCTCAGGTAGCATGTCCGGGATTCGTCTCAAGGTTTTTCCTCCGCGTTCTCCGCGCGCAAGCTCGGCGACGCCATGCTGCGATGTGTCTGTTTCCTTTAAGAGAGACGTTTAGGACGATTTGTTTACCGGTTCTGTCCACACTGGTCCGTCTCCTGTTGCTTACAAAACAATAAAGCAACAATGTGAGCGTGTCGGCCCGGTGATTTCTCGGGGTGCACCGCACGCGCGATTTCAACGCTCGTGGAAGGTTCTCCGAAAAAAGAAGTTTTGCCAGCATTCCATTGTCAACCTCGTGCTAAGTGTTCAATGTGAAAAAAGCCGTCGTAAAATCCGACAAAGCGTATGATTTTCACGATCGCTTAAACAGAAAAGCCAGCCGATCGCTCACATTTTTTTCGCCCTACTAAAAAACACAACACACAACGTATTGCGTTGTAAAAAGTACGTCTAAAAAGTAATAATCCAATAATTATACCAGTACAGGCGCGTGGGCGCGTGCTTGGTCGCAAAGAGAATACGGCAGATAGTCTCTCTCTCTTCGGCGCACGGCCACTTGATATACGATATACAAATGCGAGATGGCACAATAGGGGTAATTGTGACGCCGCTGACAAATGGTACCCGCGCGAGTCGGCGCGCATGACGGACGGCGCGGTCCGGCGCCGCGCGTCGACGCGCGATATCGCTGGGGGTTGTCGAACACCCGCAGGAAAAGCGGGGCACGCGCTTTTGCCATTTCGCGGCGTGAAATGGAAGAGCAAACGCTATAATGGGGTGGCAACGAGTCCCAGGAGCACCGTTTCTTCACCCCCTCGCTCGCGTCTTTCGTCTCTCTTTCTCTCTCTCTCTCTCTCCCTCCGTCCTGTGCCCTCACATTTCGTTCGTGAAATCCGTCGTCTCTCTCGTCGTCATGCTCGTTCGCATTTCGCCGCGGATACTCGGGAGAAATAGCTCGAGCGGATCACCGAGAATGGTTGGCCGATGATAGTCCGACGTCGGATTCGACGAGGCGCATTTTAAGAAATCGGCCGGAATAATAACCTCGGCACGATATCGGCTGTCGCTGTTCGAGGTAGTTGATTCGTGAATTGACTTTCTTAGGAATTCTTGAAACAAATTTCAAAAGTATATTATAATCGAAATACCATATACATATATATGTGAAATGAGAAAAGAATTGGCTATACCGGAACTGAGATAGGCGGTACTATCGAGGTGGATGACGAGAATTCAGAAAAACTTGGATAACGACGCATCAGCTTTCGAAAAATATGGAATGGAAAAAGTGAAAATATCTGGTGTTCGATGTAGAGGTGGCCGGCAGGTAACGCGAGCACAGATTCGACAAGCTCACAAGCGTGCTATTCAGAACATCGGCTGCACCGCGGCCGAGTCACCGTAGCCGGATAATCGGAGGTGCTAGCTCCGATATCGGTGAGATGAAAAACGCCGACGGTAATCCTTTCTGACACACACGAACACACACTTATGTCGCTCGTACATCGAGAAACGAATGAACTCGCCCCTTCAAACAACAGTCTGTACAACCGTACAAACCATCCGAGAGAGATAGAGAGAATTTCCCCCATCCGAAAGTAACAAAGTTCAGCTCGGACTCGCACATAAAGTTGGTCCCGTTAACCGTGAAAAAAGTCCAAGAAACTAGAAACTTCGATTTTCCCGCTGGTTCCCCTTCGAGTCGCGCGTTATTACCATTACCGTGTCTTGACGTGTCGCTCACTTTTTGACGAGTAGTTAGAAAATTGACGCTTCATACAAGATGCATTTGACGCTTCATACAAAATGTTACGTTAATTAGACATTATATTTCTATCGTACGTTTTCGCGCTGTGGTGATTACGTAAGGTGTGAAAGTCTCGAGAACGTTTCATCGTCGGCTGCCTTTGACTGTACACTTAACCGAGCACCTCCATCATTTGGCTTCAACTGATTAATTCTCGTTGTATCGCATAGATGAATACTCGGTAGTTTTTTCGGTCTCCGGCGATAAAAGCTGATTCGGAGTCGCGAAATTATCTTTTGCGAGCGATGAGAGATTCGACGCGATGAGAGATTCGCGCACGGGGAATCTATCGCAATTAAAACCGACACCGCACACACGGTTTGGAATTTTTTTTTTGATTCGATTACAATCTTTAGAGATAAAGAGTCTGTCTCTTTCGATAAGGTTTAAGGATGTTTCACGTTTGTTTACGTGCATCAGGTTGCGCGACGCTCGTTCTTAACGCGCCAAATATTTGCGCGTCTAACAATGCATGCAGCGCGACTGAAGAACAAAAAAAAGGAAAGAAAAAGAGAGCGAAGAGTTCCGAGCCGCATATCGCGCGTTTCGTATTGATCGAATTATAGCGAGAATATTGTGTAATATTGATTTTCCCCTCATCTCTCTCTCTCTCTTTCTCTCGTATAAATTCCTTTATTTATATAACAGAGATTCAAGCTAGTCGTTATATAACTGTGGAATAATTGAATTAATCGTCGTGAAGAGAAGACGCTTCTTGAACGGAACTTTTCTTTAGGAATGAGAGCAAGCTTCCATGAATTCCCGCAAATTCTCTACCTGTACATTGCCTTTGTTTCTTAATGTTCGCATTTTTTCAAAGTTATTACGCGTAGAAAGGCGAGCTATAAGTATCTTCTATCGATATATCTTCTCTGACAACCCGTACGGAAAAACTACAAGAATGTGAAAAAACTTACTGGTATGCTGTTGAAAAATAATAGTATTGAAAAACTATAATTTATGTTCTTTCTTTGTAGTTTTTGTAAGAAAGGTTTTGTAAGAGAAAAAAAATAAAGAACGAGCGGGCTATTTTTATTCCGGTGCATATTTGAGGAAAAGTAAATAAAGTTTTGGGATGAAAGAGACTCTTGTGAAAGAATTATGTTTTAAATCAACGTACATATTCGACTCGATAATAGAATAACGTGAAAATGTTGCAGTGACTTACATTTGGAGGTTGGCCCGGTCGAAATCCGGTAGCGGCCGATAAAAGTACAATGTGATCGCGATGAACATGCCGATTTATTATATAGCGTCTCGCACGGGGGGCAAAGACGTGATTCAAGCATTATCATAGATACGGAAAGCTGAAAGTGCCCGTGATAACGATCGATCTCAAGCTAAGTAGATGAAAACTCGAAACCCGACAGTTCGTAATATATTGCTCCGCGTTATTTGAACAGATCTCACACTGATTTAACAGTGAACGTGCCGCGACCGCCGACGTGTGTATTTGCTTGAACGTCAACATATCGTCCGACTTGAACTCTTAAATATCTCCACTATTTACGTTACATCGCGCCAATGAATTGCGCGGAATTATGCGCAAAAGGAACATTGTATAGAAAATCGCAATAAGCAATAAGTTATTCGAAAGAATACTATGGTAACAAAAAAAATATTTAAAAACTTTTTGTTTTTCAGAGCGGAGCAATATTTAATATTATTTCCTCGATATATTTTTTCTCTAACAAACAACTCTACTGAAACAATAATAATTTAATTCAAACAAAATGAGATATTCGATGTTAAATGATTTGATTTATATTGAACAAACCTAAGTCAAAGAAACACGTGATGCTAAATCCAAAGAAACTTTTTGGCTCTGTGTAGGAACGGATTTTTCTCGCTCGCTCGCAGTAATTTGTCCATTCGCGACGAAGCACGTGTGTAAGGGTATCGGTCGTTTTCGCGCATTCTTACGAGGATGTTCCGCCCGACTGTCAGCCATGCTGGATTCACCTATGTGTACCGTCAAAAAGTCTAAGGTCGCTGCTTATTCGTGATGCCACGAAGGCCTCGGTGTTCCCTTATCGAGGAGTGGTGGATTAACGTGCACGCCTTTGATCTCGCCGGCGGGGTCTTATCTAATCGTGTCCCTCTCTCCCGAGCGATTCTTTGCCGTTACCATCCCTGTTCCCCATTCCTCTCTCCATTCTGTATTTTGTGCGCATGTTACCGCCACGAACGACGCCACGTCGTAAGAACCGCATTCACACCGTGCGGCCACTTTCTCGACGCACCTCTCGCCGCTTTTCGTTCCTTTTCCACTACGTAATCACCACGCGTTAGTCCCTGCAAATCGTAAATGCGTGTCTTCCCTCTCTCTCGCTCTCTGCGCGTGCGTTTATATATTCTAAATGATAAATGTCAATTTAATTTAATGTACATTTACAACGTTTCTTTTTCTCACTTTTCCAAGGTAGAATGAGCATCGTGCTGTACGACGTGTATCTTAATAATTTATGCTACTTCCAATTGATTTTCGTAATCAACATAGAATATTCGCATCTCGTTGTTTCTCATTTCGGTATACGCGGGATGTTTTGTCATCTTAGGCGGAATGGTTAAAGCAAACTTAGTACACGCTTCTCTCTTACGTTCCTCCCAGAAAAATCCGACGGTAAAATTAATTACGAAACTTCATTTCTTTACTTTATTAATGTCGCCATACGGTATGTATGTATACGCGCTCGCTGAAAACGTTATCTCCTTAACGTACTATTGACAAGAGAATCAGTACGATAGATATTAACCGCGTAATAACGTCGGCCGTTATCTTCTTCTTTTTCAGGAAAGACGCGCACAAAAGACAAATACAGAGTGGTCTACACGGATTACCAGAGGCTGGAGCTCGAGAAGGAGTTCCATTTCAACCGTTACATCACAATGCGACGTAAAGCAGAGCTCGCCAAAACGCTTGGATTAACGGAACGTCAGGTGAGTAAATGGTGCCGGGCGGACACACGGACGGATAGCCCTCCTTCTCGGCGAATCCGCGACGTGCAAATATTTTCCTCGAGAAATCACGTTGTTCTCGTATTTTCGGTAATAAACGCGCCTTATATCGGGGATTGTAACTTTAAGAACCGGACTGTGCTCGGCGCGTTCGGCCCGGACATAAGCAGTTCATTTCATTCTATGTGTTATTTTGATTTCAATCGTAACATTTTTATTGAAAGAATGATATGCTGTCTTTGAACCAATAATATATACGTCATGTCGTATTAAAAACACGCTAAACTGCGAGAACGCTTCTTTCAATTTGTACCATTTAGCGTTTTCAATACAATACTGCATGTGTGATCGAAATAAATAATTATTTGATCGAAAAAAGTCGACGTACAATTGGCTCACAGTGAAATCCTTTTAAAACTATTATATTATCGGGGCAAGTACACGGATTACTAAAACAACAGTACCTGTCCCGACAATACTGCCATTGAATCAGGAAGGTTCTTTCCAATTAGACGGACTCTTTGTTGACACAACGTTATGTTTTTTCCGTGTGCGTATCTTTAAATTCAAACAATGACTCAACACTCTACTTCGATTCTACATTTCTGCACGCGACGGAGACGATACGCGATGAGATGCAAAGCTGAGGCGCTCCTCCCGGAAGGTGGTTTAACGTTTAAGAGAAAAGTCGGGAAAGAGTTCGGGTCGGCCGTATCGGTCGATGGCTCGTCGCGAGGTAGCCGATTAGAGCCGATGGTCTGTTTTGCACAGGTGAAGATATGGTTCCAAAACCGGCGGGCGAAGGAGCGCAAGCTGCAGAAGAAGCGCGACGAGCAGATGAAGGGTGAGCAGCAGCAGACGATCGTCAGGACGTCCGGCAGGATAATCGAGGCTCCGGCCGGCGTCGTGGTGCCGCACAACAACCCGGTGCCGCTGGGCCAGCACGGTCTGCACCACGGGCCGCTGGTGCACACGGCCCCGGGTCTGCATCTGCATCACCTTCAGAACGGGTACCCGCAGGCCGGCGGAGGACACGCGTATCAGAACAGTTGCGTGTATCAGAACGGGATCAGTGCGGCGCAGGACGAGCAGTTGTGTAAGATAAAACGGACTGAGGAACAACCATCTTGACAATAACGGCGCATAAGAGGACGAGAAGGCACGTACCGGGGCGGGAGTCTGGGTAGCTTAGTTGGCAGAGCAGCCGCCCGGCAGGCGGAAGGTCCCGGGTTCGATTCCCGGCCCAGAACTCCCCCGGTATGTTTTCTCTCCGACTCTTTGCGATTTCAATTGTGACGCAAAACGGACAGCAGCAGCAGCAGCACGGTTGTTGTTCCGCCACAGCGGCGAGCCCGTAGTGGGTAGATGCGCTCAGATGAGAGAGGGAGAGTGCATGCATCGGGGAGGAGCACAGATGTGCGGTAGTTGTGTCCGTCCAGAAGCGCGAGAGGGTTCATCTGGAGGCGAGAGAGAGGTGGTTTTTTTTCGGTTTAGGCGAACTCCCTGGTTCTCTCCCGCCGCCGCACAGTGGGATGAGTAAGAAGAACGAGATCACATTCGCATCGGCGCATATGTCGGACTTGATTTCTCGGACAGTTTGCTCTCTCGTCCGCCGTAAACGAGAAACCCCTTCGACCGGTCCGCGACGATCATCATCGTCATCATGTAACGCTCACCGACGGCGCATTACGCTTAACTTTAGTTTGATTCTTCGACTGTCTTCTGGTGCGGTTCTTCCCTCACTTCCCTCGTTCCGACAGCCGGCAAGGGTTCGGGACTTCCCGTGAGGGTCAAAGGTAAATCTATGGAAGGAGAGAGAGAGAAGTTTGCCTTAAACCGCAGACGCGCGCGCGTCGAATGCGTTGTTATAGTCACTTTTAAGTTAAGTTTTTGACACTTTCGGCCGTAGAGATTACGCGTCGCTTCCGTGCAACACTGACGGATATTTGCACATTTCAAAGGGAGCACCGTGTGTAGCGCGTATCATTTCGCACGATATTTTTTTTTGTCAACTTCAGAGTATAGTTTTTTAATCCGATCGCGAGATTGGTTGTTGGCACTATAACAACGGTGCGCTCTACGGTGTGCGTTATTTAAAAGAACATATATCTTTATTTTTTATTTCTATATTTTTACTTCTTTAACTTATATAATTTATGCCACTGTTAACTAGCGTTTTACTTAAGAAACACTGTAATCCTCTAAGATTCTGAGAATCGTAAGGCGACCATTACATCGTAATTACCTCGTCTCGAGATATCTAACGGACTGTCACTTAAAAGAGAATCCTAAGGAAACGAGATTCACTGATCGAGTCATCCATCGTCATACTTAGCGTGTCGGATGTGAAATAACTATCGAATCAGTTCGGGGCCTCTGGTACGTAGCGATCAAGATCGCGCGAGGCGATCGCATTGGCGCACGCGATAACGCGCATTGATAACGCCGGTCGACTTTTGTATTCTGAACACAAGCGGAAAAGAAGAAAGTCGAAATTGTGTCTTAAACCACCAGGAGCGCGCGAGCACCGAAATGTGGTTGTTACTTAGCGGCTTAGTTAAATTTAGACGTTAAACTGTTGAAGCGAGAGTGTTTCTTCCTCGCGCAATTTCGGGATATTTGCAAATGTTCCAACGGGCACCTCGTAACAGATTATATTGCATAATATTTTCTGAAATTTTATAGCGTAAGCAAAGTGCATCTTGGGATTACATAAACATAAACACACACACACATATGAAGTAGAATGTCGCGCGTATGGATCTTCTCTTAGCGAGTAGTTCGAGCACGACAGGTACTTGAACGCATCTCTAAGGCCCGGTTACATCAACGTTATTTTAGCTTCAAGTAAAAATTTAAAACTTTAAACTTGTCGTGCCAAAGCAAAAGCAATACCTAAAGTGCTTTAATTTGCACTAATCTTAATAAGATAAGCGCAGATCAAAGCACTTTAGACGTTGATTTTGCTTTGGCACCTCAAGTTTAAAGTTTTACATTTTTACTTAAAGCCAAAATAAGGCTGATGCAATCGGGTCCAATAAGGGCGATACTCATACTCATAATCATTTCACGAAGCAAGTTTTTCACCGTTTGTCGAATTGTTTTAATAGCGGACACAAACTCGTCTCCACGGAACAAGTTTATTAAACAAGGCTCCTGTTATTCTCCTTAAAAAAAAGAAACTATTTGTTTTGTTATGAGATATATTTGTTACATATATATTGTTGATATTGTGTTATGTGTGTTTTAATATCGAAAAATTTTAACGAAAAAACAAGCAATTTTTTTGCCCCGACAGAGGATACAAAATGCATGTATTTCTGCTAGAATCACGCATATAGTCCTTTGGTGTGTGTGTGTGTGTGAGAGAGAGATTCTGCCGCAGTGTCGAATGATTCGCAAAATTCGTCTCACCAGCGAGATCTCCGTCGTCATCAGCGCGCTATGCAGCGACTATTTCGCCGGCGACGGCGAAATTCTTTATCCACCGTGGCGCGTGAAGTAAGGATGCGCGCGCGTACTGCAAAAGGATTCCGGATACATACACACAGGACGCGTTTTATTACAGTTTTCATCCGCAGATTAGCCCCTTTGGAACCATCGATACCCGATTCAGGCACTTTTATAGCCCCCCCTCATAAAAGTATCTATTTGGTGTTTTCGACTGGGCCGACTGGGCCGCAGCAAGTCGAACAAAAAAAGGCATCTTCCGCGTATACCTAGGAATTCCGAGGTGTATACGTAAAGCGATGTTACATCTCCGGGTTCCAATTACGCACGGATTGCCGACCGGGAGTCGTCCTTTCATCCAGGATCCACGGACGGAATCGGCCGCCACTTCCCCCCGACTTTTCTTACCGTTATCCTGGATACGCTCTTCCCACATGCGTCGCGTATCGGGACGCTCTCCGCGGCGCGTCTTTTGTAGTTTCGTCACGTTTGGGAAAAATATGGCAAGAAGATCTCCATCTTCTTACCGTATCCTCGATGCGCCACAATGGCGGACAGATAGACCATAAAGTGAAGACGGGATTTCATATATTTTTTCACTTGACAAACATTTCTCAACTTTGTTATGCTCGATCGATTCATTTTTCGCGCACGGAGAAAGCACATTTTGCTAGAACAGCAAACGTTTGTCAATATAGCGACGGCAAGAAAACATTTTTATAGACAGCAAAAAATTGATTTGGACCGCAGAAAAATTTGTTGAGAATATTAATTGCTATTTGCTGCATATATGGACAATTAGTGCTCTTAACAAATCTTTCTGCTGTTTAAGCAAGTTTCTTTTTGTCGCCACTATATTGACGAACATTTGCTGTTTCAACAAAATGAATTTTTTCCATGCACGATATCGCGCCGGAAGATGCTTGAGGCGATACGCGATGTTATACGCAATTTTAATTTTCTCGATATTTCTCGCTATCGAAGCAAACGCAATCCCACGAAGTCGGTGATATATTGACGCCTCGATCGGAGTGGCGGGTTGAAATGCGCTTTTACTTTTATTGGCCCGCGTTTTTTATAAATGATGGGCGGTGTTTGCCGGCGCGATGCGGCGGAATCAATTTTATTTGTATGCGTCCTTTAACCGTACACCAAACATATTCGCCGCCATCGTTGCCTGTAATGCATAAAACATGTAACACACACGAATTTCCATTAATCCCGGGATCGACCGATGCTGGATCGCGGGCGTGTAAAACGCACAAAAATCGACGAACTTCCGTGAAAATCTGGATTACGCAATGCGATGAGACACGACGTGCCGCGTTTCGACGCAAATGCTTACATATTTACAACATGCACGTCTAGACGCGTGCGAATAAAAATCCCGTCGCGCGGTGGCCTTTTCTTTTTTTTACGTTCCTCGCTCTTTTTTTGCTCTTCCACTGATCCTGAACAAATAAATCCGCGTCGCGAATAACAGACGCGGAGACACGACGGTGCGCAATTAAATTCCCGATGCCGCTCTTTTCCCTTCTTTTTCTTTTTTTTCTGTCATCAGCCATGGCGTTCATCCGTCTCCGTTAAAACAACGATGTTGTATCCGCGATGGCGGAGCACTATCGAACCCTCGTATAATCAGCGCCGCGGCAATAACTGGAGCACAGATATCTCGTTATGCGAGCGGTCCATTAATTTCTCTCCGCGGCGCCCATTTCTCATCGCCGTCGCGCTCGTGCAATTCGTCGGGCTCGCTCGCTCGAGACCTCGCGTTTCATTCGCGTGCGTTTCTCGTCAACGGAATTATTCCGCCACAGCCGGGGGTGGGGAAGTGGCGGGTTGAAACGCGTTCGGTTTTTTTTTTTTTGCGGAAATATATTATTCACATTCTGACGGGGAGAAAGGGGAAGGAACAGTCGCGGTGATGCCACATTGAGAAGCAAAATTGGCGGAATCAGCGAGTTCATTCGGGCGAGCGAGATTAGTTCGTGCGAATATTTTGCCGATCGAACGATAATCGTCATTTGGTCGTTGCGATGACTTATTGATCGATTCAATTACCGCAATTTGGTCGGCAACCGTGTCAACGTGTGGTCGCGCCAACGTAAATTTGCTCAATGGATAGAATATTACGAGTATATTATTATTATCATGTGATGGAATTTGTATCGATGCGAGTATTATTTCAACTCGATTCAAGGCTAAAGAGCTTCTGAGAATATTATAGCATTCTTGCTTGGTTACATGGGAGAATATCTGTCTTGATTTAAGACTGGACCTTTTTTTCCGCATACATGCAACTATAGAAGAAAAGTCACACGCATGCTGCGCGTGCTTTTCCTTTAACCGCGAATTCTCTCGGACCGATTAACGTTTCCGCGGCCGGAAAAATGTCGAGGAGGTCGATAGCCGAGAGGCGGCCCTTTCGTGTTTACCGTACGAGCTTGCTAGAAACGCGTCTCGTCTCTCGCCGGGAAGAAATCAAACCGCCGGTGTCCCATAACCGCGCAAAGTTGTTCCTGGTTCTCGCCTGGAGGACGACGGAGGAGGAGGACAGGGCGGCTCAGTTGTCGAAGCGCCGGGGGGTTGGTTTCAGGGGGATGGGGCGGTGCGGGTCGGACATCGATCTGGTAGTTAACTTCAGTGCCCCCGTGGGACTCGTTGCCACCTTCGTCTGCTTCGCGCCGGTATGCGCGGTGGATGGGATACGCGTGGTGGAACCGTCTCCCCTTCCTCCATTTCGACGTTTCGCATAAAGTGCATTACGCGTTTTTACGTTTGCGTTTACGTCGCGCCGATCGCACCTGACATTTCACCGGCCGGGAGGAGCCGCTTCGAGAGAGAGAGAGAGAGAGAGAGAGAATCTCAGTAGCGGGTGACGGCGATACCCGGATAATAGCCGAGGTAGTTCGAAATAAATCAGGGCTTCTGTAAATCTGCTGATACACATTGACGCGACGGAATGTCCGTTGATGTCATTCTAACTCACACGCGTTGCTTCTTGCTCTTAGAACGGATGTATTGTTACCGTACAAATTATACAAATTCACGACGATACATCACTATATAGTACAAATGCCAAGAATGTACAATGACACACATTGTTACGATAAAACTGGAGCGATCGGCGTTTTCTATTTTGCTCGGCAACGTATTCTTGTCATTTTTTCTTTTCTTTTGTTTAGCAACGTACGTCGTTCTCCGAGTCTGTCACATTATCGTTGTCATTGTTTACTCAATATTCGTCTATCTTGCTTTACCATATTATCTCTCTCGTGCGTCATGAAGCAACGAACAATGTTATATGCCTAAAGCCGACGATGCACAGTGGGCGTTTTCGGATCGCATGCAAATTATTAACAAAAATGCAGTAACATAGAAACGCACCGTTTTCAATATACCGGAAGGTTGCTTGTGATACGATACCAGAAACGCGCACAGTGTATCGTAGTTTGATTATATGCTGACCAAGATAGCGACTTTCAGTGTTTCGGAGTCAATTTGTTGTATATACATATTCATGCAAGAAATGTAATTGTTGATCATAAAATAAACTGTACAATAGTTTATTGCCAAAACATTGTTATAATAAAAATGTATATATTTGTAACATAAATTATTATTATTAATGATAAATTATATTATTTCATTAAATTATATATAACATTATAAATATAAAATGTCCAAGAAAAGATGCTCATAAAATAAATAATAATAACAGCTCTCTTCTCCTCAGATTAAAATCTTGATTTTTGAAACTCAATGCTGATGTCTAAGTCTTCTTTTTTATTAGTTTTATAAATTATATATATAAATTACACACACAACATATATATATATATATATATATATGCACATTTAATATTATATTAAATATTATATTATTAAGTTAATATTTGCACATATTTTAATAATAAATTATTTTCTTGTTGCAATTATATTATTACATCGAGCGACAGATCGTATCGAGTTTAAATCATATTGCATCATCAATTAACGATACTTTGCATGAAAATTGTTTGTCAAATGATCTATAAGTATTAATCCTGGCTCGTCACATTTCGGCTCAGTGGAACATTTTTTGGTTTTCTAGTTCTCGTTGATTCGATATAATTTCGATTGTTTCGACGTCGAAAAATGAATTAAAAAATAAATAGGACTTCTGACTTATCGAGTTGTACAACCTCGATTGTTCCTTGAAGACGGTGGCGACTCGTAGCGGAGACTTTGAAACTCACAAAAGTAACAGGTCTGAATCATGGCGGACCATTTAGTCGAGATTCGAACCATTCGAACTGCCTTTAGTCGAGACTCAAACCGCGCATTTAACGAGTCTTTTGCGACTCCGTTAGATGGCGCTAGGTGGTACGTACCTGTCAAAACACCATGTGCTCTACCATTGCCATAGTAACGGAGTTACCATGGTAACCGGAAACTTCGAAACAAACCAACTATCTGGTTTCTCGAAATACGAAGTTGCATTTGTAACAATTTTGTGACTGTGTGTGACGAGAAAAGCGAGTGTAATTCATGTGCTATCTTACAATTGTTTGCTGTAAATTCAATAATATGATAGTAAAATTATAAATAATGTGAATAAACAAATCAATCGTTTAAAGTAGTTGGTCCGTGACAATATTGTTAGAGAGGTAATAATAAACAAGCTCGACAATGACGTCGGCCTGTTTTTTGCGTTTTTCACATTTTTACGTACTGATTTTTTAATAATATCTCTACAAATTTTTTTATCGTCTTCTCGTCTATCGTTAAAACTGTAAAAGTAATCTGGTCGTCACAATTAAAAACGTGATATCGAAAGCCGTTTTCATACTTGCGATGCGTATAAATAGTGTGAACGTTGACTTCAATAATCTCAGTTTCGGTATAGTCAGTCTTTGCACGTGCGTAATTGCGCCATGTCCTCCCCTCGAATGGACTTTATAAGCGGAGCGAGGCAGCGAGAAACGCCCGAGCAAGACTTGAGCCTCTGCTACGCGTACCCGATCGTGATCGATGACGAGCAAGGGACGAGCAGCGTGCTCACCGACGACAAGAGGGTGTCACGAGTGCCGAGCAGCAGAGACACCTCGGCCGAGGACGGGTTGTACGTGCCCGAAAACCCGTTCACCGAGAAAATGACGAAGCCCCATCGGCTCGACGATGTGCGCGCTACGTTGGACTACGAGTCGCGGGGGCAATTTCGCGGCGGCAGGCTCGTGGAGATCGCGATCCGCGACGTTCGTATTCACGAGGCGTCGCTCGAGATCACCTCGGTGTCCATATTGTTCCGGCGGAAGTTGATATGCAGGACCAGCCATCCCTTCAATCGGAAGCTGTACAAACTGCTGATCCGAAACGTGGAGAATCACAACCTGTCGATACAGGTGCACGCGCAGCGGGCCGAGTCCAGCGTCCTGCCGTTCCCGTTGCCGCGACGTTGCGTCAAGGACCACAGGGTGGAGGTGGACTTCGCGATCGGCGATAACTCGGGCAGGATATACGCCGGCACCGTCACCTGCACGGTCTCCTTGTCGAGGCAAGGCGACGAGGAATGGCAGGAGAGCAACGCGTACCTCTACACCCTCAACAACGACCCGAACGACCCGCAGAACTGCCTGATGAGACCGCGACAGAAGTCCAGCGGGAAGAAGGACGTTAAATACTTCCTGCTGCAGGACCCGGCGTTGGTCTTCGAGGCGGAGCTCGACGCGGTGCGTAAAAGTCGCGCACTGGAGTGCAAGCCGCCGGACATCGTCGTGACCGAGCAACCGGCCTTCTCCGTGTTGGACGTCTCCCTGAAGAACCTCTTCCAGGCCAGCCGGCCGCTCAGACCGTCGTCCGGCACTCGCAGGCACCACACCATAGGAAAGACGATTCTCGCCGTCACCGTTCTCAGGGGTGTGGAGGTGTGTAACGGATATGTTTTCACAGTAAGGGGCACACCTGTTCCAATATTTCCGACAATCTTAAACCTGCTATTCGGACAGAGTTGAATTTGATTCCTCGCAGGTGCCGGTGAGGGAGGAATCGGCGTCGGTCTCGCCGCTCGTCGAGGTCGAGTGGGGCGACGTCGTCCACGCGACCTCGGTGGCGGACGGGCCCGCGCCCGTCTGGCAGCAGACCATGCACTTCGAACGAAACGGCGAGCAGTGCGTGAAGTTCCGTCTGTACGACCGGCATCCGGTCTGGGGCCAACAGTGGCTGGGCGAGGCGAGGATCCCGCTGGAACGTCATCAGGAGCTCGAGCGTTGGCTCGCCCTCTCCCCCTTGTTCAGTCCGGCGTTGCTGTTCGGCTACGTGCAAGCCAGCCCCGGGCAGTCGCACACCAGGATCTACGTGCTGATGAAGATGGAGCAGCCGGGCAACGCCAAGTCCATGGAGGCCAACGCGATCGACACCCTGTCGAAGGGCATCCAGCGTTGCTTGCCGAGTCCCTGCAAAGTCGCCGGCGTCGAGACCCCCGACGATGCTGCCCGACTCGCGATGCTGTTGCCGTCGCTGCCGGTGCACTACGGCCCGGTTACGCCGCGCCAGGCGTTGAACGTGAATAAGGTGGATCACTATGGCCGAGCGGCCCTCTTGGCCACGCTGCTGCAGGCTTTCGGCTTGCATCCCTACGTGTTGTTGGGTGCGTCAATTCAACTTCTCATCTCGGTTCAACATAATCCGATAAGATCGCAAATCTTTTGTATCACACTGTTTCACAATTACATCGTTGAGTGAGAAATTAGAACGTTGATGTTATATCAGTTGGCGCTTGCTGGCTGAAAATGAAATACACAAATGGAAATAACCCTTTGCAAATTCTCGCACAGGTTCCTCGCAGACAAGCAAGTGGACCGCGTTTGTCTTGAACACCGAGGGGGACGACGCTGTCCTGTGGGATCCAGAGATTGGAGATCACTATAAGCTCAGCGACAGCCGGTGCTCGTTGATGAAAGTCTCTCGCTTGATCAATCACTCCGGTGTCAGTACCGAGAAATTAAGCTTGATATGATATTAATTGCGCGGTCTTACAATGTGCCTGCGTTCAGTAGAGAAATCAGCTCTCACCGAGCGCTGTACACGAGTCGATACCAATTTCTTTTTACGTATTCAATCGCGGGAACTGAGATTTTCTCTCCGTGTACGTATCTTGCTGCTTCCGTCTCACTTATCTATCCTTTCCTCAAGAAGATCCTCGCCATTCCAGATATGGGATAACTTGCAGAAGTCCATCCTGCCTCACAATCTCAGATACAACGTGACGATTAGCAAAGATTGGCGGCCGCTCGCGCCCGTCGCCGCCACGTCGACCAGCCAACGGTCCGTTCAGACGCTGGAACTGGCCGTCGCGGACGAGGAGGATGCGAAGGAGAGCGAGGCGCGAATGGAACAACATTTGCGGGACAAGCTGTCCGGCTGGCGCGGTGCTCTCGGCCTCACGACCGTGTTCAATCGTCACGCGGTCGCCGTTTTGCGAGGCTTCGTTTCCAACATACCGAGCGACGTGGGACACCAGATCGACAAGAGGGACCTTAAGCAGTTGTACAGGGCCTATCACACTCACGGTTTTCTCCTGAATCTACGTCAGACCAGCTTGAACGAGTTGACCGAGCAGATAGCTGCTACGAAGGTGCGCGATATCACGGGCCCCGTCGAATTCGCGCTCGTTTGCCACGTGCAACGCTACGTTGGGAAAACGTGCTCGATATGGTTGGCTTTGGCGATCCTCAGGAGTCGCGGTTGATGTCGCTGGGCATCTCGTCCTTTATATATTTGTAGTTTAGGTCGAACAAAAAGGTTCTCTACTATTTTGCAAGCAACCACGCAAAATTTCGAGTTGTGCGTCAAGTGATCATGTATGGGAGGCTTCTTTAATTAGGAAATGTCTTCGGCACTGTATGGACGGACGCGCTTTGCTAACCGAAAGTGTTAGTCGCAACTACTGTACACAATAGACGATGTTCATGTTTCATCCGACGGAATTCAATATTTTACGGTTGAGAAAAACATAGATATATCAATTTACCGTACCTATGTTACTTTTGGTGATCCTCCTCTGTACATATACATGTTAAAGCAATTGTGAGTTAAATTATGGATTAAATATTAATAAGAAAATGTCATCGGTAGAATTAAAGATGTATTTCATTCGTACACACACCCACGCACGCACGCGCGTACGTGCATACACACACACACACTCTTTCTCTCTCTCTTTTTCGTGTATCGAAAATTATCTAACGCTTTCCCGATATTCAATCTCTCTTTCCATATGAACCGCATATTATTATAATTATGGTGTAATTAATTGCATTTATTTGTGTATTATTTGTCACACGTACTTAATTCAATTTTAGTAGCATGTGAGCTCGTGATTATTAATCGCTTGTGTAAACTAACGCGGTTTTCATAATCCTTAGGAAGCGTGTATACAAATAAATAACAATGAATAAAATTAAGATATCAACGTTCAATGCACGATTACAAAGGCTTCTCAAATCAGCGTTACAAGAGGTACGAAAGGATAATTAAATGCAGAAACTGTGAATAATTAACGTAATGCATTTCTTTCGTGCATTACTCAGCCTTACACCGTGGTTGTAACAATTGTGTCTCCAACGTGGTAATAATAAAACGTATAACAATAAAAACACATTTATCTAGGATTTTTTTAGAGATATATTAGAAGGAAACCACACACGATTCGACCGGATAATCGCGACCCCGAATCCATCGTCGCAAATAAATGGTCATTTTGTGATTTATACGGCCTAGTTAACGGTTTGCTGTTACGATTCCCGGGTGAAAATAGGACTCGCATTGCCGGATGAAGCGGACTCACGTGATTCACGCTTGCGCTTGTGCATCGTAAGACAGCCACGCGCGGGACGCTTATTTGGTTTCTTGCGAGACCCTCGTGCCGTCTTCACCGTGTCATTTCGCTCGCTAACTATTACTGTCATAGTTCTCTCATCGCGACGAGGACGCTCTATACGTGTTTTGCGCGCGTCGTTTTTACACGCGGACTACTTGCCATAGAAAAGTGTCTGTATCAAAACCTCTGTCTAACTGATCGATACTTCTTTTTTTTCTTTTCTTTACATCGTTTGGAAACTAATAGAGTTCTGTCGATGACATTCGAATGTGCGTAATCGTTTAACATAAATGCGCGCACACACATACACACACACATACACGCACGCACGCACGCATGTACATATGTACCTCAGTGCATCGAGGATCTCTCGTAGCTGTGTGAACAAATTAATCGAAAAGTAATCACGCATAGGCTGATTCTGATTGATGACTCTTAAAAAGTCATTGATTGATTCACGCAGAATCGCTCGCTCGTAATGCGACGTAATGACGTTCATGAGATTCAACTGACGACGAATTTTTTATGTACACGCACTGAGCGGAGAAGAATATCTTGTTACGAGCGACTTAACGTTCACGCAGAAAAATAATTTAAATAGAAGCAATTTGGAGAGACGGCAAATATTACATGTATATATATGTCATAGCAAATGGAACAATATACAGAGTATTTCTTAAGTACCCTCCGATATTTTAGCAGTTGATTTTTTAATATTTTATAAAGAAAAGTTCATACGAACATATGTTCATTTTTTCATAAAATGATCTTAAAAATGAACTCCTAAAATATTGAACAGTACTTAAATATATACTTTATCCAAAGGACGTCCTGTGGACGTCTTTAGGACGTCTGTGTTGTATGGGATCCTATATATTCATTAATTTGCTGCGACAGCACAAAATTTGCTGACCTCTAAATTATTTTTCTCCGTGTTATCAAACGTATTGTATGACTGGACATTTCTCGAGTCGGACATTTCATCCCTTCGAATAAAATTAATGCAATTCCGATCTTTGCACGGTAAACAAAGAGGAAGGACGATCTTTCGTGAAAAAATTTGCCTCGCGTGTTCGTCCGTTCGTCCGTCCATCCAACTTGGATCGGTAAACTCGCAGAATCATTTCCATGGTACTTCGGGCCTCGTTTTATAAAGTACACTTTCGTCGGGGATTCTATACTTTCCCCTTTTAATTTTTCAATTCTACCAAGCCTCACACGGAAGAACAAATTCTTGCAACCGAATAGGTGACCAGGTGAAAACTTGGTAACGAGAAATGATATCTCCGTTACTGCGACTGAGAGCACATTCGTGTGAACATTCGGTTGCATCAAAACTCGATTGAAAGCAATCATCAAATATGATTCGATTCGAACGATTCTCTACCACAACCGAGTTTCGTCTGGTCCCCAGGTGACAGAAAATTCAATTACAGAGTTGCTTCTCCCGTGCAGACGACTAATATTTGGGCAAAACGCGGAACGGGACTTGGTATAAAATTTGAATGCAAAACTGGCTTTCTAAATTGGTCGGTCGCACAAATTTCCGCCTCGAAGCCCGAAATACGCGGATCCGGTCCCGCGGACGTCGTCGCGTTATTCACTACGAAACTCGAACCCCTTCCACTAAATTACTTTCCACTGTATATTCGTTAATATGTACAATCGCCGGGATCAGCGTGGTGATGTACAGCGGATGTACAATCGTTGAAGCCGATAAGAAACGCGGATCGATAAGCTTAGGATCACGTTGACGATTCTCCGTCTTGGATCGACCGCGTCACCCCGATATCGAGCGCAATGTTTGCGATTCGCCTCAGCGTGCACTCGTCTGCGAAACAGCTCGAACGCATTATTTTCGAACGACGTTAGAAGCGCATATCAAATGGTCACGATTACCGCCGCATCTCACGAGCTTGCGCCGTTACATGACAGAAATGACTATAGCCGTACTAGTTCAGTAGAGAGAAAAGAGTGAGCACTTATGCCCGATTTCACCGACGTCGATTAAATCTTAAACCGAGTCTTTTCAGTCTTTTCCTGAAGGGAGTTTAAACTCGGGTTAAAGTTTAATCGATATTGGTGAAATCGGACGTATTAATGATTATTATCAATCAGCATCGGTGATCATTAAGTGTTCACTGAACTACTTTCTCCATTGAACACAGACAATAACCGCGCGTTCAGTGAACACAACAGTTGTGCAGTCGCTGAGTGAAACTTATCTATGATTGAGTATCCCGTATTTTATCTCAGGGACATCCTGAGAACGCCTTTAGGACTTAGGACATCCTCTTTAGGATCCATGTCCTTTAGAGATCGTTAATGTATGGGATATGTTTTTAGATCTACCGATTAACACATCCAACAATCGATCGTCTAACCGTTGTGTTCGCTGAACGCAGCGAATATTTGATACTGTCGACGGATTAAAAGTTGTTTACTTTGCGACGAATTTCACAACGCATCTTTTATCCAATAGGAAGATATATCTCTCGAGAATTGATAAGAAATAAATTCTCTTATTGGGCACGAGATACGTTGCAAAACTCGGAAAAAAGTGTTGCAACCTTTAATCTGCTGACTGTGTGTGTGTACATCAGACGTAACTGCAACGGAGGATTCAGGAAAAACGTAAATATCTTTATTTCATTTTTATCTATAAGAATAGAACAAAGGACCAATATTTACACCGTGTATTTTGCACTGTGTCATAACCATGTTGGCTCCTGTTATAACCGATCGCCATGCAAGCTCATGCGAGCGGTGGCTCGCTATTTTGACCATTTGACACGCTTTTTCATCAGAAAGAAAATGTGTTGAAACCGTTTCGCAAATGAGATTACGTCAGGCGATCTAAGCGAAGTCTGTTTTTCATTTTCATTGCTTTATCTTGTTGCCTCCCTTTTCCCCTTTGCTCCATTGCTTTTTGTCCCCTTTTTGTTTTTTCTCAGTGAACCGTTCTCGATGTTTGTCGCCGTCGATCGCGACGCAACCTTCAACGTCAACTACGTATCTATTACTAATGTCCGTGACTATTTTCCTCTTGTCCTGCGCCGCGCGAGTGTTGTCTACATCGAGCTAACGTCGACGAAGAGACCCGGGGAGAAAGCCTCATTGGGTCTTCCTCTTGGATACTCCGTTCGTGTAACCGTTCGTGTGTCCGTTTGCGACAATTCCGTTGCTCTCGGCCATCAGACGCGCTGCTTCCTCGGCAGCCTTTATCCTCTTTAACCGCTTCTCCGCGTATACTTGTTTACCCTGAAAAAAAAAAGAACGGTGGTTATCGTACTTGTAACAGTTGAAGTACGAACGAAGAAAATAAATTTTGCTAGAACAGCAAATTGTTTATTAATATCGTGACAGTGAACAAATTTGTTTAGGCAGTGGAAAGATTTGTTAAGAATATTAATTGCTATTTGCTGGATAAATGGACAGCAAAATAATTTTTCCCGTGCAATAAATCTTTTCGCTGTCACTGCATTAACAAATAATTTGCTGGAACAGTAGAACTTATTTTCTCCGTGCGGAGGCAACCGTCGCGATGAATTTGCGATCACCGTCGCAACAAAGTTTGCGACTAATTGCGACCGACATTGCGATAGAAGGACCTTTACGTCATTAACACCACGCGATAATAAGATCCGGACTGACCTTTGCGATGTAAGCTTTGGCGTAGAAGTTTCCAAACAGGACGATGAAGGAGAGCATGTAGATTACGAGAGCGTATTGCATCCAGAGAGGGAAGTCGCATCCCGATCGGATACCGTTAATGCCCAAAATTAAGGCAGTAGTGAACTGAATGAGCTGAAGGATCGTCAAGTACTTCTTCCACCATAGGTATTTGCCCACCGAAGGGCCTAACGCGGCGAGTCCGTAGTATGAATACATCAGCACGTGAATGAAACTGTTCACCATCGCAGGCAGGAAAGCTGCGAGCACACATACGCGCGTAAAAGGAAGTGACCAACTTTCTTCGCGTGCGCGCGCTGACGAGAGGTATCGCAAGCTTCGCACATTTTCGTTTTGAAATCTTGAAACAAGTGCCCTTCCCCATTAATTTATTAAAAAGCGGCCGATCTTCAGTATTTATCTTCAGTATTATCTTCAGTATTAAATACGGACAAGTTAACACATATTGCCACAATGAGATATAAGAGATTCGGAATGCTTTTTTGAAAATTGCGTGTCATTGATACGTCAATGTATTACTTGAATTTTACGGGAAGCCATGTAATTTTAATGTCTCGACAATAATTATCGCTAATACCGTTCGACGTGGAAGTTCGTTCAACGCTGGTTGTCGTGAAAAAACATGCAATTATCAATAAGACATAGTAAGATAAATTAGTGTTGAGATAGAAATAGAGAGAGAGAGAGAGAGAAAGAAAAAGAAAGAAGTTCGCACACTTACTAGATCCACTGGGTACCCATTTGATTCCGATCCACCATAACGAAAACATAGTGGAGTGGTGGTAGACATGTAGGAAGCTCAACTGATTGTCCTTCTTTCGTAGAATAAAGAAGAACGTGTCGCAAAATTCCAGAAGCTTGCTGAAGTAGTACCACCAAACTGCGTGAGCGATCTAAAAGCAAAAAATATTAGTTTTCCAAAAATATCTTGGAAGGAGCAAGTCGTACTTGAAGTAGACAAGACCACTAAAAAGATTATTCTTTGTAATTTTTCATATTATCGAGAAAGAGAGAGAGAGAGAGGGAGAGAATTTTGCTTACCTGAAGTTCGTCGGGACGCGTAATGTGCCTTATTGGCTGGCACACGTAACTATACCGTAATCTCGTAGAAGCTACAAACAACTATAAAGAACACCAAGTATAAATATCGATGAAGCGATGACGGAAACGCGCTTTCCAGTGAAAGTAGATAAATAGAAGTAAAAACGCTACACGTTCCGCGAGATATTTTCTCGTGCGACAGGAAGTGATACCCACCTGAATGGCAATGTAAGCATTGAGACAGGCCATGGCAAGGTTGTAAGGTACAAGTGCCCATGTTAATTTGAAAGCTTTCCGCTTCTTCATGGCCTTAGGACCCGCCCAAACAATTAGAAGGTACAATATCGTGTATATTAACGTTGGTTTCGGCGAGTCCACCAATAACCATCCCCTCGTCCTCTCGTCTGGAAGTCGAACGCATCGAAAACAATTTAATGAGAATTGCAACATTATTCATGATTTATGGCGGTAGAATATTATTTAGTATAATAGATCTCTCACAGAATTTTTCTCTCAGATTTTTGTTTTTGCTGTTAAAAATCTTTCTTTCTTCTTTGGTGAAATATTTGACAAATTTCACGTTACGAATTCCAGAAAATGGAACGATCCAATATTTAACATATAATTATAATTAATTAATATAATTATAAAAATAAAATACTGAATAATAATTAATATTATTCAATGATTCCAGCATTCATGATTGAATGCGGAATTTAAATTGTTATTGACGACATGACTTTCCTTTATAAACCGAATAACTTGTTAAATATGTGTCCTGTGTCATGACGTGACATGATGATGGTAAAGAAACGCACATTATACAATAGAATAATATTTCAATTGCAAAATTACCTGCGAGAGACAGCGTCCAAAGATAGTAGTCATATGCATCGTTGATAAGATTCGCCGTGGAGTTAATAAAGCTCGCCATCGCCTGCATAAATCATCTTTGAATTTAGCAACCTTCACGACTTTATGGCACTTGCAACGATTTGAAATAGTCTTCTATTTTCGTATCGTATGTACTTATATTGCGCGAAAAGATATCCCCCCCTGTCACCGCTTCAAAGACTATTTCATGTGGTTGACTTAATTTATATAATAATAGACTCTCTCATTGTTTATCTTTCAGAACTACTTTGATGTACTTGGTGATAGTGCTGCGACACGTATCTAAGTAATTATGTGACTATGTCTAAGTGTTATCACAAAATATATTTATCTGCAATTTTTCCTCTTCCCTTTTTTTTTAGTATGAATTGGTTCTGAAAATAGTTTTCTAATCATTTTGCACTTTGCCCCAAATATAAACTAATTGATATAATTCGACTAATGGGAAAAATTCGACGATATCGCATAACCACCGAAACTTGTCATTTTAAAAACATAAATGATAAGTTATCGGAAAAATTATTGTTAAGAAACGTTGTTGTAAGACGGAATGCGCATATATACGATGTGTGTTAAAAATACAATATTCTAAAATGTGCACACACGTTCAATGTTGATGAATGTGGATTATCGTTTAATGGAAATGACAAATCAGGAATTTTTCTCCTCTATTATCTCATAATATTCTCTCATCTAGAGACGAATTTCAATGAGGGATTTTTTGACGATTCTTTTTGTAGATATTTTCATACAACGAAAATGCCGGGAAAAGTTGTTAAGATCCTGTTGAAAAGAAGCAATCTGAGATTGATTAACATATCTTTCCTATTTCATTATAGATCCGATGCTTGAAGGCCTCTGCACGGAAAGAGAAATCGTAGACTTTCCCGTTTGAACGTCGATATATTTCCTTAAAACTACTTATACATTTATTTTTAATTATGCGAAATTTGCACACGAGAAAACGCTAATTATTCTAAGCTACGTTACCACAAATGCGCATAATATTAAGACGCAACACCAACGCATCCGCATAGTATTGATTCGGTTATATGAAGTAGATCTACACGCCTCCGTGAGCTCATAATTAGTTCTTAATAGTGATACTCCCGTAGATGCACATTAACCGGTCGTTCACTCTATGCCATCTATATCGCGGAACATAACTTTCACGCTCCTAAGAAACTATTACTGCTACTATCTCCCGAAGTCGCGCGCTATGAACACGTCTCGCCAAGCACCTTTTTTTTCTCTCTCTCCTGAGCGGTCTGTTGTCAAGTGCGACTATCCATCAACTAACGTATTCTTTAAAGTCAGTTTCTTTGTGCGAAACGACTCGATGTCGAATTCGCGATACACACACGTTGCAACATATCGCATATTTTAATTCTCGTGCGTCAGCAAGTGCATCGTATGCAACACTAGCGCGGTATCATCGCATTATGATACGTGCACTTAAATTCGCTGGAACGGTATTCGACGTCGGTTTACAAAACTTAGCCACTTGTCTTCGCGAGTAAAATAAAAAAATTATTAGGAAAAGGCTGTAATAAGCGGATATTGCATATTGGCGCATCTGTATTTGCAAGTGAGATACTTTGCGATGTGTGGTCCGCTGATTTTTTTCGTTTCTTCACGGAATGTATAACGATAGTTATGAAAAATAAGCTTATCCCATGTTAGAATGACACACTTGGATTTGGAATCCAGAATTAAGGGTTAATGCACGCGTGTGTCATATAATTGCGTTTACAATTGAATAAATATACACTCATTCCGTGGAATAAATCTTAACGTCTCAAGTAAACACCAGTTAATAGAAACATTATATTAATGTTTCATTGAATCACTTTTCAACAATGTAAGAGCAATGTAACATGCATATGTATAATAGTTACGCTGTTGAGCGGGAAATTGCAGCATTGTTGTAATGTTACTGTTAGTTGGTATTTATTATGATAGAATTTATATGATTGGTAAACGTAGAATTGGAATGAGTGTGTTAATTAACATTTATTACGTACGAAATTGTCGCGATATCAAAGAGCGATATCAAAAAGCGATGTCAAAGAGGAAACTTCTCTTAATGTTGAATATTAAAGTATATGTGGAGAAAATAGTGCATATCAAAAAAGAATCAGCTCAATCATATATTCATACAAAATAAGCATTTTTGATGATATGAATGCGATCAAGTAGAAAGTGGTATCTAGGAACGTTTTATTTGCGGTGTTACGCGAGATTTCTGAAACTTTCAACGACCAATGTCGTTACTCATGGACCGTTAAATGCGATAGGATATCATACACGGTATGTTAAAATATTAAATACTACGAAAAATTATGAGAAATAAATAATAAAACATCGGATATGTCCACGTTGCTACGGCTAAAAGACTATTCAAAAAAATCATCGGAGAAAAAAAGAGAGAGGAAGAGGGAAGGCAAGAGAGAAAAAAGGAAGAGAGAGAGAGAGAGAGAGAGAAGGGAAAGAAAACAAGAGGAAAAATTACGTATTCTCTTACCAGAGTGTATAAAAGTATCATCAATAATTTATGATAAAATTTCATGTTTTATCACTTTATAATTCGATCGGCTCGATATATTTCAATAACGATGAACGTTGCACGTAGTTTAACATAACCTTAACATAAAAATAAATTGATAATTAAGCTGCAGTAACCAAATATAATCAGTTATCTCAAATTATGAATAAAGATATTTCCTCTACATGTGATCTAAATATAGAAAAAAAATTAATAAAATAAAGTAATTTAGTATCGCATATGTCGAGAAGATATCGTTATTCATAACTTGAAATAATCCTTAATAAACTTGATTATAATCGGTTATCACAGCTTAATTATCGATTTACTATATTTACTATATGACTATTAGGTCGTAATAATAACGCGAGCGAACGCATGCTTTCCGCAGCATGATATAGAAGAGGAGAGGAGAACATAAGAGAAATCTTTGAAATTTTTCATTAAATTATATTCTGTTCTTCTTCACTAAATTGCTACTCGCTGGTAAAAGCAGAAGTAGCGCTACCGAAGCAGACGTGCAATACGAAATCAGCGAAAGTGGCTACATGATTTATTGCGGACGTAAGAACCATGCAAAGGGAGAAGTAATCTAATCAATCCCTAGGAAGCATTTTTCTACCATTTTCTCGGAGTAATCAGCTCACCAGAAAGATGTTTAATTCAAAAGCAATCAAAAGAAAAGTTCAGACGATAATAAATAAATATTATATATATTCTTCAGATTTTTCAGATGTAATAGAAATATTTAAACAGTTTTTCATTTTAATTTCAATTTTTTATAAGCAGCTCCAACATATTTCTGTTCATGTTTCAAACGGAATAAGCTTTTAACTAATATTTGTGAACAGTGAATAAAAGTATTAATTGATCAGATTTTCATTTGTTTATTGTCAGTCGCGATTTTGAATTTAAAAGTATGGAAAAATCCGTTTTCTCATTTTCCACGGTTCTTTTCGCTTTAATTTCGCGAAAACGTAGAAAAACGTTTTTCCATTTTTCACGGATTTTTTTCGATTTCTTTCCGCAAAAGATTGAAAAAAATGAGTTTTTAAAACTATAGTCACGGTTAATGATATAATTCTTCCGTTGAAAAGACCAGGTAGGAATTTACGTGATGTGGAATTCCATGTAGGAAGTTCCATATGGAATCCCACGATTGCACTTTTGAGTGAAAAATCCAAGTCCTCGGAATGTGGATTTCTATATGAATTTTCACACACCTTGTGGATTCCTATATAGATTTTTATTATCCTATACGGATTCACATGAGCTCCATTGGATTTCCGTGGGAATCCGCCTGGAAATTTTCAACACTGTTCAGAGCAGCCTACGAATTTCCATCATCGAGAGAAACTCCGGAAAGAACCGGCGAAACTCGAAAACCTGCCGAAGATTACACTCAACAAATCCCGATCGCTTCTCGGTGAGACGCATAGCTTCGTGACACGGTGTTTCCCGGTTCGTCGATTTTGAAAATCCCGTCTCCACCGGATTACTTCCGACCAGTACGAAGACACTAAGAGGTTGCGCCTCTCCAAACCGATTCATCGGGGGAAATAACGTGTTTTCGCGGTATCGCCCATTTTCCACCACGAGGTATAATCCCAGATAATTTACGGCCGGGTTTTCTTCTCTCTCTCTCAGCAGCAGGAGGAAACTCCCTTACCTTGTGCGGATCTTACAAGCACCTTGACCCAGCGGCTTGTTGTCCGAGTTGTTCTCGAATCCTTCGATCTTGCGTGCGAATCGACGGATGCGCGTGTTCCTTTCTTTGTCCCGTGTTCTCGCGATTTACCTCGCGAAGGGTGAGCTTGACGTTGAACTGACACCCGCGATTTTTCTCTACTTGCGTCAAAGTAACATGGCCCGACGGAGAGAAAGAAAGGGAGAGAAAGAGAAAGAGGGAAAGAGAGAGAGAGAGAGAGAGAGAGAAAGAGAAAGAAAGAGATGACACCGCGGTAGGCGCCCCGCCGAAAAGTGTCGCTCCTCTTTCTTTCGCGAAAGAGAGAGAGAGCGGGACGAAACCGTGGCACGTTCGTGGTCGCTCGACAAAGTGGCAGCGTCGTTTGTCGGCTTACTCGGTCCGCTTTATAACTTTGGTGTCTTCCGGTGCGATGGGGCCCCCGGTGGTGGACGACAATCGTCGTCCGGAGATGGTGGTGGTGGCTCTCGCGGGGACGTTGGGCGAAAACGAGGCCAAAAGGATCGCGAAAGTGGTGGGAACCGATCACGCCGGGGATAGATCGGCCGAGATCGGTCAAGGCGAAACGCGGCAGGTAGGATCCCCCCGGGATCGCGCGCGCTGTCTCACCCCTCCGAGACGTCTTTCTCCTCCCAGTCGCGACATCTCGTCGAAGAGAGTCGGATGATGACGACGGGTCGCGGAAATCCCGATCGGCGGCTCATCTCGTGATTTCTACTTCCGCTCGCGCGCACGGTTCGAGCATCTCTCGAGTCGATTGGCCGAATTCTGCGATCGATCGTCGAGCGCCGCGTTCTCCGCGAAGGGAAACTTTTCGGTGTGGGAGATGAGCGGTAACGGCTCGTCGGGGAGTACCGGTTTTCGAGCTCGTGTTCGTTTTTCCTCGAGGATGGCTCGCCGCCACTCTTCCGGAGGCTAACTTTATCTTGGTATTTGCCCTAGTTTCATATGTGCAATACATAATTACAAATTCAGGCGGAATTTATTGTCCTTTTCCTTGTCTCTCTCTCTCTCTCTCTCTCGCATTATTGGATCTTTCACTCATCTGTGTCCGTGTAGGTACCGGCTATACAGCGACGTCGGCGTAGCCTCGTTTTCCAGGC